CCTTAAAAAATAAAAAATTAACAAAGAGAGATAAAGAAACAATTTTTATTTTAATATGAAATGTAATCATTTATCTTCCATAAAAAAACTGAAGTAAAGAAACTGAATGTATGATAACAAAATAAAAACTCTTTTTTTACAGAAAACAAAAAATTTTAATGCTGACTCAGCATTAGAGAAGGTGCTCTATGTGATTGCCATTCACTCTCACGCATGTTTCAGCCTTACGTCTTAGAGAATCATGCACTCTTTCAAATCATGCACTCTAAAAAAAACCTAGAAAAAAGATATCCCCCTTGTACCCCACTCTCCCCTACTCCTTTGTTCATTACATTCTAAAGATGACACGACTAATAAGAAAATGACAAAGAGCTCAAATAACAAAATAGCTTGTATCTTAGAAGATATTAGTCTTAGGACCCATGTTAATTAGATCTTTTCTTTTTGTTTTGATCAATACTACCTGCTATCAAAATATATGACTTTTTTTCAACACCCTGTATAGAGTAAACACGTTTACTTTGAGTCGTCGAGTGAACATTGTCATTCGGAATTGAAAAACACATCTCATATTTTATATCGTTATTGGACCGAATTCTAATAGAATAAAACAGTCACTCGTCTGGATTAAAAATTTACGCTAGATTCGAGTTAATTATATATTCTTGTGATTCCAAGTATTCTCACTGTCGTTTCGAATTTTCATTTGTTTTAAGTGAAATTACACTCCCTGAAATTTAGAGGGCATTCTCGACATTTTTTCAAACAAAGTTTTATGTAGGATGATGGCTGAGTCACTTTAATTTGAACAATTTTTCACTTATATGAAGCATATTTTTTCACTTCGAATTACATCGAGGAAATATTTTTCTTAAAAATTGAAGAATAAATCTCATGAATATGTGTACTTAATTGTTATTAAAAGAAATTTACTTCTCTAATTGTTTGAAATATTCTATTATCTTCATTATCGCTTCAAATGAATTCGTCTTAAATGACATTTTGAAGAATTGAAAGATTTGAAAAACTATTCTGCGAATCTCTTCTTTTTCTCTTTCTTTAACGCTTGTCCTTATCTCGTTTTTCAGCTGAACGTCGACATTATGTTACAATTTGTGAACGAGAACGACCACAAAGTGATATGCGTGAAATTCCCGGCGAAGATCAAGTAAGCGACTCGCAGTACTCCCGCAGCTCGAATTATGACGAATAATCGTAGTACTTCGGTATCGAAACGGACACGTAACCGCGCAACTATGATTCGTAGATGACATATTTCGTTATTCACGTTTCTCCGCAACGTATGTCGACGTATTAGCTCAATGCAAATCCTATCGAACTATTTGTAAATTGTGGAATGAATAAATGACAATGATAGTTTCCTTGATGGACGCGGAGTTGTGTACATTTTTGTATCTTACATTTCTAGTTTTGTATGTGTGTGTCTGCGTGTGCGTACGTGACATCTCTGAATATATTCAGAATGTTCAAAAATTAAAGGTAAAACGTTCGTTCGCAGGTAGAGTGGATCAAGCTAAAGAGAAAAATCTTTTACCACATTTCGCAGATTGTTTTCGTAATATTTATTCAGGCATTAATTAATAGTTCGATACCAGCGTCACATAAGTACAGTTTGTCAAGTAAGAGCGTGTGCGGGTTAATTTGTAGAAAAAATTATTTAATACAATTTTCAAATGTATGGATACCTTGTACTCGATCCAAACAAAGATGCAATTATATTAATAATGCATCCAGTCACCATCGATGTCGATAATTGCCTGGCATCTTCGAGGCATGCTTTCGACCAAGTTAATTCATGCGATAAGGACTTCCAAATGCGACGAATTTCTCGAGTTAACTGCTTCAAAGTAAATATTTTTCTTCCACGAAGCTTGTGCTTAATGTATGCCCACACATTCTTGATTGAGTTTGCGTCGGGCGACTGCGATAGCCAATTAAATGTAAAGATGTCAGACTACTCCTTCCACTCGGTGCAGAGCTTACTCGGTATTTAGGATCGTTGTCCTCCTGCAGGATCCAGTTCTCGTTTTTGATGAATCAACCCATACAGAAAATCTCCTGGGGACGTCCTGCAGATGTCCTGAGGACGTAGAAACGTCCCCAGGATGTTCTCAGGACGTACTCTGAATGCACCTGGATATTTGTGCTGTTAGAGAACGTTCGGCAGTCGGTAATAAAGATTTTTTGTATATTTCGAGTATTTTCCGAGTATTCAGATTGTAGGTAAACAGATGCAAAGCTCCGAAAGTTTTGAAAAGCAGCTCCAAAGATGCACCTTTACTATGTGTTTAACGGTCCGCTGTACCAACCTGTTGGTGGAAGTTGACCAGGCTCGTGGAACGATAACCTATCCCCAAACAGAAGCTTCGTCCGCAAAAACTACATTGCTCTAATCTCGGTCAATATTGTCCTTCGCCTATGCGAGTCGTTTCGTCACGTGCTTTTCACCTAACACCGGTTTTTTCACTGTACTGTGCCATTTGATATTATGAGCACGGAAATAAGTTCGGCTAGCTTCGTATGTTGTATCTAAACCTTTCTGCTTCAATTTTGCTGCTCCTTGACGCAGTGTTAAGCCAGAATTCCGCGAAAACAAGTTCATTATCATTTTATTGGCTTTAAGGAACACTTTGTCATCGAGCCATGTTCAGGTAAGTTATCGACAGTTTCCGTCTCTTTGTATCGCTGAACCCACTTACTCACGAATGATTTCGACTTCCTCATGTATTTAGCAGCTGCTGTATGAGACATTTTCGGACTTTTCGGGTGGGAACAGAGGAACTCAGTCTCGTGGCGCGATGCGTACGCGACACTCATGGCGTTTTACATGTTTACCTGAAAAAACTTCAATGTCAACTGAATCTTTCTTGACAATGTATGAAGAGCAAAAGTTCCTTCTATCCACTCACGAAAGAATTAGAACGATATCTTTTACCGACTGCTAGCACGCTCTTACTTGACAGACAGTATAGCAGGGATTGTTTCTTTTCCTGTGCTCAAATACAGAGTGTCCAGTAACTCACAGAGGAGCTTTGGTCTACAGATAGATTAAGTCAAACTGAATAAAAAATTCCTTTACCATTTTGCGAACAACCAGCTTTTGCAGATCGTTGAATGTGATTGTGTGTTTTCCACTCATGTGACTTGGTATGTGACAAGGTATGTACTCGCTCTTTTCCCCGCAATCCAAAATACTTTCGTCAATCTAATGAAATAAATTCTCTAATTTTGTCGCAGCTATACCGATCAAGCTATATTCTAGGCTCCCACATAGAAATTAACGATTAACCAGGCAAATTATCAGGCAAATAGCTGTCATCGCGTTGGTTAGATCACGAAAAAAAATACTGTCTGGGAGAGATATATCTCTCCCTGTCTCTCTCTGTCTCTCCCTATTCCTCCCTATCTCTCTCTATCTTTCTCTGTCTCTTCCTGTTTCTCCCTGTCTCTTCCTGTCTCTCCCTGTCTCTCCCTGTCTCTCTCTGTTTCTCCCTATCTCTTCCTGTCTCTCCCTGTCTCTTCCTGTCTCTCCCTGTCTCTCCCTGTCCCTCCCTGTCTCTCCCCGTCTCTCTTCGTTTTTCCCTGTCTCTCCCTGTCTTTTCCTGTCTCTTCCTGTTTCTCCCCGTCTCTCCTCATCTCTCCCTGTCTCTCCTTGTCTCGCCCTATAATTATTAATTAATTATAGTATATTTTAATTTAATTTCTATTTTATTTTTATTTTACATTTTTTATTGTTTTTTTATTGGCTATATGGCGTGCGCGTAGCGCGCGCATGTATTGTTCTAGTCTTATAAAAAAGCAACAATAATAAAGAAATAACGAGTATAAGTATAAAATAGTATAACGGTTAAATGGTCATTTAAAAGCGTACATATGCCATCTCTGGTAAAAATTGTTTTCATAATTTTTTATACAATTTCTTATATTATTATTTTTTTAATGTTATTATGTCATTAAATCTAAACGATTTAACCGTCATGCAATAAGTACTGAAGGCAGCAGCAACGAATAAAATATTAGTCTCGCTATGTAAGTAACCTTTACAGAATTTTTGTGATGGTTTATTTGAAAATATATCATGTTTCGATTTTGATAAGACTTAATATGATCTGAACTGGACAATCGACCAAATTAATTTGCACATGTAAAAGTACAGTATTTTATTAACATGATGGAAAAATGTCATTATCTGCTGTTTTATTGCAGTAATTTTCTATACAGTCCTTGGTAGAAAATTAATTTTGAATGATCGTGGCGGTCTCTCTTACATTATTTATACGCTAAACGGTTTCGTCTATATTTTGCGGTTTAAAAGGCGAACAAACTCTAAGATTTTTTTTCCTTAAACTTTAAGTGGGCAATTCAAAGCACTTTTTATCAAGTGAGGAATTAGCGTCTAAGATGACAGACGATTATCCAAAAGATGTGTTCGGTTCAAGTTCGAATCTCACCAGAAAAAATCTTAAAAATTATGAAGAAATAATACAGAAAATTTTTTTTCATTGTTTTACGAGTATTTATGAGTATTTATGAGAAAGCTCTTATTTTATCAATAATTATGAAAAATTATGAGAAAATTTTCTACCAAAAATTTAATTGAAGAACCTACAAAACGACAGGATCTGCGCGCAATCTGCTACCAATCTGATAGAGCCTGTTAGCAGACTCTATCAGCAGTCTGATGGTAGATTGGGAACGCAGATGACTATAGATCTGTCGACAGATTCTGTTCGAATTCGACAGATGTTGCCAATTTGACGCCAGTCTGTCCACAAATTGCTTACTGGGTACAATAGCGATACACCTATTTTTCACTTCAAGCTCATCTTTACCCAAAAATTTCAATTCTACTCAACACATTCATTATACAGAGAAAAATATAATTCTGCAACTAAGAAAAGCGAATATTCAGTTTACTTTCTTCCTTTTTAGTAATGGTTATCTTTAACAAAGAATTTTCTTGATAATAGTCTTCAGATATACTTATCACAAATTTGAGAGAAGCTTATATATATATATTATCATTAAAAGAAGATTTTACTAAGAATATTATAAAATTTTATTAAAGAAAAAGTTGGTTTAATTCTACATAGCAAACAAACCGAATTTTTGTTTTCATTTAATTTAACATTCTTGAAATGTTAAACTTACTATGAACTTACTGTGATTTAGAATATGTTTTGAACAAATTTGACTCTTATAATGAGCTTGATGCGGACATATAAACATATAAAATAGTTGAAACAATTAACATTCGCTTGAATGCAGTATATATTTTTCCATATATATATATCATATATATCACATATATATGTGGCTGCATCTTCCCTTTATATCTACACATACATTAAGTCTGTTTTACACAGTTACATAAAAAAGAAAAACGATCAATGGCTATTGACTTTAGACAATCACCTGATCGATGAAGGAGAAGATTTCAATTCACGTCCGAAGTGCATGATTACTCATTTTTACCGCAGAGACTTGTTTCCAAGTGGAAAAATGAGAAACTTTGGACTTAATAACAGGGTACATCTTGTTGCTTCTCTAGAATGCGTACAATTCGCATATTTTTTTGATGAAATCATTCGATCATCACGTTTTGATGAAATCATTCATCACCAAAATAGCGCGGATGTGTAAGGCGAGGCTGCACCGAGATGTCAGTCATTCATGAAACCACGCGAATACATTGTCACTAATGAGAGTCACGTTTTTATTAGATAAGCACAACGCTTATAAATTCGGGATTGCACGCGATGGTGCTAATAGGCGTACGACAATCGCGGTGGCAACATGAGCCGAGTCGCTGTTACATTTGCGCTATTGTGCGCCTTGTCGTCTACCCTTGCCTTCATTTTCGAGGACTGTGGTGAGTAGGAAACAAATCAAATAGCGATTAAAGAACTGCTCATTTTGCGTTTTTGTTATTAATCAAAATCCACGACGTTTAATTATCAAATTGTGTTAGCTAATAAGAATTAAGTTTGGAGTCCTAAATCCAATTCAAAAAGGAGAAAATAGATAACAGTTGTATTTTCTGGTTGATCTCAAATGAGTTTTACTTTTTAAATTTTTAACTCAATTGTGATGCTCTATTCAAATTTAAATTAAAGTGATATTTTGAATATTTATTTTAATTTGACATAACGTTGCGCTTGAGAGTTTTTACCACATATATCTTCTTTCTCTTTGGAATTTTGATTAGAAGAATTTTTGTTTTAAACTGTTTTAAACTTGTTTTAAGCTGCAATATCTATAATTTGTAATAATGTTAAGGTTAAATTTCGAAAAAAGCACTTTCATGGAAAACAAGTGCTTTGAAATTTTCATTGTAGAACGTGCAACAATTACATGAAAATAGAACATTCTTGTTGTGATAATATCTTTATTTTTGACATGTTATAATCTTTACCTAATTATATTATATTATCAAAGATAACTTATATTGCAATTCTAGACAAAATCGTAAAACTCGTAAGTTGTTCTCGTAAGACTCGTAAGTAGACTTATGAGTAAACGATTGATACGTAAGCTACGTCTTTACGGTTTTACGATTTACTCGTATGCTTGCTTAGAATTGTAACATTAATTGTATTAATGTATGTTATATAATTTATAACAAAGAAAAATATGTTTTTTTCTTGTTATTTAAAATTAATTTTCATGAATGAAAAGCATAAAATATTGGATTGAGAATATGGTATTTTTAAATGTTGGAGGAAGATGTTATTATAAAAATAATCATATTGTATTTATTATGACACTGTTATAATATACAAATAAAATTATAACATTGTTGAAATTAAAGCTTCAAAATTCTTTTAACAAAATTAATATTGTTGTTTATATATGAGATAATGATTTTTTTAAATATATTAGTTTCAAGTAAATACTCATTTTTTCTGTGCAATTTGTGCAATTTGCTCGAGAAAAGGATTTTCTCGCGATTGAGAGTTCTCGGATTTTAATTATCATAAATTATTATTAATTATTCATCGTTATTCATCGTTATTCATCGTTTTTAACGTTAATTGTAGGCATTATAGAAGCAGCATCAAGGATCCTTAATTGAGAATTACGCATGTAATGGCGTTGTGAGTTATTAGCAGTATTACACAGAAATATTGTGCTTGAAGTTCTTTAATTACGCGTGTTTTGGAATGTTTGTCACTAAAATTACATATAATTAATTCGTCGCGCATAACCCTGAATCATCGCGATGTGTAGTTACGTCTAATTAAGGATCCAGGTGCCCGTGGGTTCTACTCGCACTATTAATTGAACATTCAAGATTTCCGTTATGCTCGAATTAGACACTCTGGACGCTTGAGTTTACATCATATAGTATTATCATTACTACCTTCACTTTGCGGAAAATCACCCCTTCAGTTACATAAATGATTTTGCAAGAAACAGTGTGTATTCTATAATAATCAAAGAAAAGAAAGAGAGAGAGAAAAGAAATTTGATAAAAGAAAGATAAAACAAAAGTAAAAATTTCAATTATTATTATTTTAGTTATTATTAGTATCATTATTACTATCTTTACTTTACAGAAAATTATCATATTACTACCTTCACTTTACTCCTTTAGTAACATAATTAATTTTGTAAAAATAGTGTAGATAATATGACAGAATAATCAAAGGAAAACGAAAGAAAGAAGATGCGCATAAAAGAAAGATAAAATAGAATAGAACAAAAGTAAAAATTTCAACTATAATAGGGCATTCCATTAAGAATATCCCGGACAGCAGAAATTACTAAAAGATATTTGAAGGACGTTCAAAATATAAGAACGTCTTTTGGATATTTTAAAAAGATTTTTTAGTAGATATATTCATTGTTTAAATTATGAAATTTATCGATACGGTTTCTCATAGCATATTCTAGACACTGACAGGAAAATTTAGTATTTGTGATTATAACTGTATGTTTTAAAATGAGTTTCCTCGCTATAAAGAAAAATAATAATAATCAGGAAACGTATTTTCATAATATTTTTATTTCTCTCTCAGTATAGAAGAAACGAATGGTGCCAATAAACAATTGGGTGCCATTCAATAACCAATTAATCCTAGGCAAAAATCGAACCTAGACAAGAAATCGAATCTACACTGTTTTTACAAAATTAATTATGTAACTGAAGGAGTAAAGTGAAGGTAGTGATATGATAATTTTCTGTAAAGTAAAGATAGCAATAATGATACTAATAATAACTGAAATAATAATAATTGAAATTTTTATTTTTATTTTATCTTTCTTTTATGCAAATTTCTTTTCTCTCTCTCTTTTCTTTGATTATTATATAATACATACTATTTCTTGCAAAAATCCTAGGCAAAAATCGAACAACTGTCCATCGTATTAATTAATTTTATTCTGTTGCAGGCTCGGAAGTAGCCAAATTAGGCGACGTAGTTATCTCGAGCTGCAACACGGCAGAAGAAAAATGCATTCTGAATCGCGGCAGCGAAACACACGTGAACGTCAAATTTACGCCATGTCAGTTCACGTTCTGACGTCGTTGCGTTTTTTGCAATTTAATTAATTGTTGATAAAGAGCTATTTGCGACTGCCATCTTCTTTCGTAGCTAAGGACATCTCGCACTTGGAACTACGCGCTTTTGGTGTGCTAGTTGACGTGCCGGTGCCGTTCCCGTTGGAAAAGCCCGATCTGTGCAAGGACAGCGACTCCGGAATCAAGTGTCCTCTGAAGAAGGATCAAGAAGCCGAGTACAAGGCCACGTTCTTCATAGATAAGATGGTTCCTTCGGTAACATCATGTTTGCGATTTCCCACCGACCATTGTAACTTGTAACTTACGCCTTTTAGATCAGCTCATCTTTTCTCGAGTGAAATTCCATCCGAAAAGAGTGACAGTGTCATTCCTTGAATGCGAGTGGCTTTTTGAATTAAATTTCTTCACTCTGAATCTTCGAGTGAATGTATTTATTTGAAAATAAAGATCTCTGCCTTTATTGGGATGAATTCAATCTAATCGAATGAAACATTCATTTTATAGTGATAGTATTTGAAATTTCCTCAAGTGAAATTCTTAAATAGTAGAGTGTCTCGATCAATCTTAAACAGTCTCTTGATTTAAATGACTTTTCATTCACATATATTATAGAATACGTTCCTTAACTTTGAATAATTAAATGAATATTTTCATTCGAAATTGAAGAGCAAATCTCATATGTACTACCATAATTCGAACAAATCCTTTCAAATCAAATGAAACATTTCTTTAACAGTGCCTATTAAATCTCCTTGAGTGAAATTCTGACAGTCGAATATTGACTTTGAGCAACTTTCTGCTCATATATAAATATATACTTATCTTTATTCATTTTGAAAATCCCCTCTTTTTGACATTTTACTCTAAAAAATTTAAAGAGCGATTCTGCAAAAAATCTTCTCTTTCTCTTTTCCTATAAAATTCATCTTTATTTCGCTTTTCAGCTCAGCCTCGACGTTATGTGGCAATTTGTAAACGAGGACGACGAGAAGGTAATATGCGTGAAATTCCCGGCGAAGATTAAATAAATGGCTGGCAACTGACTCCTATGGCTCAAATTATAACGGATGACCGTAACACTTCGGTATCGAGATGGACACGTAACCGTCTAACTACGATTTGTAGTTGACGGATTTAATTATTTCTTTGCAACGCATGTCGACATATTATAATACACTGCAAATTCTATTGAACAAAATTGTGAAATGAATAAATGATAAAGATAGTTTCGCTGATGTGCGTGAAGTTACGTATATTTTTACATATTTTTAGTTTTGTGTATATGTGTGGTGTGTGTGTGTGTATTTGTAATATAACACATATGTTTCTGTAATATAATATTGTTAATAATCAGAAAGGCATATTTAATATTTCTTAAAAGCGTGCAATAGAAGTGTAGAACTGTCGATAATTGTAACCATCTGCAAATAACAACAGTTCGATATTAGACTTTTGATAATTATCGATAATTTTTGATAAATATATTCCTACAAAATTTGCTACTGCAAAGATTAATTTAATTATAAGACTTCTTAATCTTTGAAATGATATTGTAAAGGAGAAAATTATGGTTTCTTTATTTTTTAATTGGATACGAAAAATACATTTATTTCCTGTTTTTACTATATTTATTAAAAATATATCAAAATTGTGAATATTGACAAAGGTGTTTGAAAAAAGCCATTTGTTTTTATTTAAAAAAGCAAGCATGTTAACGTTTTGTCTTTTGGCTCGAAAACGTATGAGACACGATATTTCATACAAATCTGTAATATATGTGATATGAACTGTATACAAAGTTTCGTAGAATATTGTATTGGAAATATTTTCGAGCATAAGATCGTAAATTTTCACGTGGGAGGTTGGAATCCGGCTCGGTCGGTACAGTTGCGACAAATGAGGGAGAATTATCTCACTAGATTTAGGCTGCGTTCGGAAACGTCACTCAAGTGTACTCGTTGCGTTGGAGTGAGCGAGGTACAAGAGTGAGATGAAAAGAGAGGGAGAACACTCGAGTGATGTTTCCGAATGCAGCGTTACGTTGATGCGTTGGGATGAGTGAGTGAGAGAGAGAGAGAGAGAGAGAGAGAGAGAGAGAGAGAG